GGGAAAGAATTGGTTCAAAAAGTTCTCCAAAACATCACAGACTTTGTTTTGCTGAATCTAGAAGAGAAGTCATCCCCTAAAGATTGGTCTGATGAAATGCAATCTCTGAGACCCTGCGGTTCTAAAACTAGCCCTAAGGGCAGCCCTAGGCTGGGTTTTAGAAAGAGTTTTAAAGCAAAGTCAAAGGTTACCTCTTTACCTAAATTTAGAATGAAACCTCAGTCAGGACAGGGTGATGTTAAGGCCAAAAGGAAGACCAAGGTAGGTCCTGGAGAGAAGACTCTGAGAGGCAGACAGTCCAAGACTGCCATGGAACTGCAACGCCCACTATCAACAGACGATACTAAAAATTCCACACTAAGAATAAAACTCCCCACTGCAGAAATGATAAAGTATGCAAAGGATATAGTTTGTATGATTTTGGAAACTATTCTAAGTGAGTTTGAGAAAGGGAAGCAAAATAGAGCAGGAGTACATGCAAAAGCTTTTTCTGACCAACTCATGACAGCAAGGGAAATAGTTAATACAGTTTTGAAAGGATTGTATGCTAGCAAGGACAATTTGGCTGACCCAATGAAAGGCTCCCATTCAGATAACCTCAGATATTCACAGGATTTAAGTACACTCTGTCTTGCAAATCCAAAAGCACATTTTTCTTTAGAGAATGTTTATTCTCAACTAGAGAAAAATTTTCCCAAAGAAGGTATTTTAAAACAAATGTTTGATAAATGGCAAATAGAATCACCTGACATAGAAAATGAACAATACAAGCTAACGATGGTAGCTGAGACTGCTTTGAATGAAATTTTAATAAAAGCGAAAGAACTAGAGTACTCTGTTTCACTCTTAAATTTGTCACTTCCTGAGTCTTGTGAAAGTAGGGGCCATCATAATTTTCAAAGATATTCTAGTAGAGTTGCAAATTCCCAAATGCAAATTTGTCTGTTTGGCCAGGAAGTAGTTGAAATCCTTTCCAAAAAATTAGAGTTTTTCTTCTTGACTCAGAAGTTCACAGTAGATTATAAAGAAATTCAAGTGAACAAAAAACCAGCTCTAGTAGCAACAAACAACAATGCACCAACCTATAACACAAAGTTAAAAGATAAAATTTGTTTGGGCTCTAGCCACCGAATTGCTCAAGAGATCGTTGAGGGAGTTCTGAACACCTTAGAGACATTTGTAGACCTACAGTTTAACTATGTGTCTACTTTTTCTGAAATTGTGAGAATGCCTATTGAAAACTTTTCTGCTATCCAGCATAAAACAGCACTACGAAATATATTGCCAAAGTTACAACCTCTGAATAAATTTCCTGATGAATCTAAATCAAGTACTATGATTTCCCAGGAAAACATAGAGGATTGCCTCCAGCAGCTGTATTCATTCCATTCAGAATTGCTTACTTACGCTACTAATGCTGTCAATGACATGCTTGGTATAATTAAGAACAAGCTAGACCAAGAAAAATGCCAAGTGGAACCATCTTTGATTAGCATAGTTGGAGAAAACACTGTACCAAGTCAGATCATCAAGACACTTATAGAACAGTGTACTCATTTCTATGAATCATTGATCAAAAGCCATTCAAAAGAAAATCCACTCCCAAGAGCTGAAAATACCCATGTTGTTAATTGGGCCAGATTTCCATTTCCAAATAGGATGGAAGTGCCCTTCTCAAAGTTAAGGAGCTTTAGCTGCCAGGCAGATCTTTCACAAATCCCTGGCTTGATGTTTTATTCAGAAGAGAGTATGAAAATAAAGGACAGGTCTTCAAATCTGCCTTCCTCTGTCAGATACTCTGCAGGAGATACATCTAAAACCACAGAGCCAGTGGAAGAGCTTGAATCACAACTTAAACCATCATATTCTAGAATTGAAATCCAACACCTCAGCCATTTTGATCAAGCCATGAAAGGAAACAGCCCACTCACTAAAGACAGTGTTTTACAAAAACTGTTCCAGAAAGCCAGTGCGTCAGCACAAGAGCATGCCTGGTCCTTCAGAGAAATAGAAGACGGTGAAAATCAAAGAGTGTTTCACCTAAATCAAAGACAGACAACCATTTCTCCACTGAAAATATGTCCAGCTGTACAAAATATCAGTACCATGCCATTGAGTTATGGCCTTCCCAGCTCACCACCTCACACTTCCAGTGAAAGTATGAAAACAATTAAGCCAGTTTTTTTATTAAAGGGAAAAGCTTCATCCATGGTACCTGAAGAACTAAAGGATAAGAGAAGCTTGCTTAAAATATGGGAAAGAAGAATCAGTTATGAAAGTGAAAAAGAAACCAAAAACCTTGAAGCAAACAGAGATTTTACTTTACTAGAAAAGTGGAACGTTAAGTCCCCAAGGATAGAGAAAACTGCAACTTTTGAAGATATTGAAGTCATTGCTGTTATGAATCAGGAACTGGAATTAGATGAAATCCACCAAATAGCAAGATACGTTACTACAGATGTGTTCACACATTTCAAGAGCTTTGAAATCAGAGGTGAGTGAGAAATGATTTATAAAGAGTTGGCATAATTTTAGAAAAAAAACTTCAAGTGTTTTATTGTTACCCTCACATCCAAGAAGTTGCATTTGCTGCTTCTCTGAAAATACCCTTCAACTTAGGGTGGATGTTTATCTACTTGGGTATTTTTCAACCAGTCTGTTGAAAATATGCTGATAAAAAATGCTATGCATTGCCATAATTTTTCTTTGGAGGAGTGTTCTGTTTTCCCTGTCTATAAATGAAATAAACATAATTTAAAGCAGTAGGTTTTGTTTGAGCACGAATGTGACTATGTGGTACATACAACTGCTCTAAAGGCAATTCCCCCAAAAGACTTTCCAAGAAGGTTTTTTAAAGTTCTTTAAAAAAGACTTCCTACATTATTATAGTCAGACCTCATGCATAGGTAATCGATGGCAGAGTAATGATCCAACTTCCCTCTGAATAGTAAAGTCATTGCCATTATTATTTTTTTAAGAATTATTTAATTTTACTTATTCATTCATTTACTTTAATTTGACCAGAGAGGGTGACACACACACAGAGAGAAGGAAAGTGAGGAAGCAAGCCACCAGGTCCAGGATTCAAACCATGGTTGGCCATGTGGGAGTGTCCAGCGCCTTAACCACCATGCCACCTGCTGGCTCTGCCATTATTACTGACACCCTTCCTAAGAATAGCAGCATTAAACTTCTCGGTCTGCTCACATTTCAGGGTCTGACTTGAATTCTTTGTAGGAATAATACTCTAGATCCATGCTTACAGAAATATTTCCACTCCCTTTCTATGATTGCTTACATGCATATATTGCATTGAACTATATGACATAGCTATTTGTGTATGTCAAAAAACTGTCCAACATCAGCAGTGTTCTCCAATTCAATTTAATATATGCTGAATTGGAAAATTAGCTAATACAGCTAAATGTTTTCTCAATAATTACCTGAGGTTTCTGGAGATCATGGGGTCTCTGGAAGAGTATTACAACACTAAAACTTAGAGATCATTTCTCTGCCTCAGGAGTTCCAGCTTCTTAAAGCAACAAAGCTAGCTATTCAAGGAAGAAATGAGCCTTTAGAGATTTCAATTTTCCAGAGCTATCTTCTTAGTTTTCTAGCTGATGTAAGGATTCTACCGAT